ATTCTATCTCTCAGCCTCTTGTACTCGCTTTTCACCGCCTCCCAATAGTCTTCCAGATTGTTACAGTGAGTTGAAGAAGTTGGCATGTGGAGTGCTGACTATCTTCGGATCGACATATTCGTGCAAGCAAGCCCTTCCGTAAATATAATTAAATGTAAAGTAAGAAGCCAACTAACAAATGAAAATTTAGAGTCGTGTTTGAAACTTAAAACAACAAGTTATGAGCCAAATTTATCCAAACTTTCTAAAATCATGCAAAGCCAACACTCCCATTGAATTTGTTTGTTATTATTCTTTTTTTTATTCTAACTACAAGTTACATTGTTTATTACAGTTTAAATTTTCTACTTGAATAACCATGCAAAGTCATGGCTCCCATTGAATTTGTTAGCTCAATTGTTTGTTATTGAAGTACAAGTTAGTGTTGTGAATAAATAGATATTCTTTCTTATGAATAAATAGATTTTTTATCAAAAAAAAATTTAATGCGAGTATTATTTATTTTTCCTGAGCTAAACTTCGCCTATGACACTACATTTCCAAAGCTTCCAACCTTTTCTTTTCCGCCGCGCCCGCTATCCATGTTTCGCACCCGTACAACGCCGCGCTCCAAACATACACCTTTAACAACCTTCTAATTAATTAGAAAAAAAACAAGAAAAAATTTTGTGGCTCTTTAAAAACTTTTTGTAGAACAAAAACAATTTTGTAAATTGTAATTTTCGACTCTTCCGACTCAAAAGGTTGCCGACCCCTGGTCTAGACCTCTAGGCCATGCCGCTCGGTTCATTGTGTCAGTGACTTGTATATTTACCTGTTTGTGGAATGTTCATACACAATAGAACAATTGAACCCACCCTATTACAGGTATATTTAGAGGTCCCGACAATTAAATGTACCATCCGGTATTTATAGAATTATGTATGTATATAGTTCCTTAACATCAACAATAGGTATTTATTACCTATTATATTTCTATTATTAAAATTGTAGTTGATAGGGAAAGCAGAGGTGTAGTTATTAGGTAAATAGTATTAAGAAGTTAGTGGAACAATCTCCGTGAAAGCAACAAGATTAAATTGTAAATATTCGTATTGTGTCCTGTACAATACACATCTCAAGTTTTTCAAAGTGTTGGATTTGATTCGCATTGGAAAAAAAATTGATGAGTGTTTATTCGAAAATAATTGACTTCATCCAACAACATGCTTACCTCAATTGGTGAACATGAACAAGTTATTTGTAATGCTCACATGAGAAGTTAGCAAAACAGCTTTTCGGTAGTTAAAATATTGTCGCATATAGAAAATCCAACATATATTAAAACAAGGAACACCCGATTTTTGAAGTGAAACTTCTTTGGGATCTAAGAGAGTAAAATCTCGAGGCCATGAAACGACAGGCTTTGCAACGTTTTGTGTCGTGAAGCGATAGGCCATGAGAATAGAAAGGCGCGCAAGCGCATATCGGTATTACAGTCAGCTGTTCGTGACCGGCATCTCATATATTATATTATAATGTATATTCACTATACTATAGTGCTAAATAATTTTTCGGTTATATCTGTGCAGTTATGTTACAGTAAGTGTATTAAGTAAATATTTATTTAACAACAATTAATATTTATTTAAGAGTGAATATTGTTATGTATTAATTCTAATTCCTTGTACTTATTGATAGTTTACGGCTTCTTAAGCACTTGAAAAAATAAACGGAAGCGAAAAAAAATTGACAATTTTTTTGTTATTGAATTACATAAGAACGTATTAAAGTAATACTCCTTAGGTGAACTTAAGATAAAATATGTTGGAAAACATAAATTCTGAAAATTCTCGTACTCTCTCTCTTTTGTAACCAATCATTATTTATTCGTTATAAAGGTATAGAGAGATCGTCAAAGAAGTTTCACTTCTTTCACTGTACTGAGTTGCACCTGTTTAGATATTCCATTCTGGATCTTTCTGGAACAAGTCCAGCTCCTATAAGTAGTTGCCGCCAACACTACTCAGTTGTACGGTCGGCTGGGTGACCTTTGAATGTTTCCCCTCTTCCACGAAAACAGAAAAAGAAAGAGCGAAAAAGCGACGTAGTGTGTGTGATACAGTAGTGAAACAGAAATTTAATTAACAATAGGGGCCTTGATTAAAATGCAAGTAATTAAACAGATTAATAAGTAGTGAGAAGGCTATTTGATTACGTGACATTTGGAACAAAAAATAAATAAAAGAGGATCGAAGAATAAATCCGAAGTAGTCCACGGAAAATTCTAGAATGTTTCATTAGTCATATATCGTTAAATAATTCTCTACAAAAGAAGAAAGAATACGGCGTCATTTAAAACTTTCATTGAATTTTCTGGAATATTTCATCGACTGCGAGAGACCCTAACAAGACGACGTATATCATTGGAATATTCTAGAAGAAAGAAGAATGAATTTGACGTCATCGATAAACTTCATCGAAGTTTTTATAGGCTGCGAGAAACCGTAACAAGTCATACATTATTGACCGACAAGTCGAAATCGACAATGGTACTACTACAAAAGAAGATATCGTCTCGCTCAGCAAGGAATGCATAATACATGCGAAGAAAGCCACTGCCATAGACGTGGGAGTCTTCAAGACATTGGCAGTCGCAAAATTGAAGCTTAGTCTCAAGAAACGGATGCAGTACGAAGTTGACCCAAAGAACTCATGCTCCTACTATAAGATTCATACGAGGATTTGCTGATATACAAAAGATGCAATTTCATTTCAATGGAAACCCGAATGCTAAGAAGCACTTCAACAGCGAAATCTTCATCATCGACACCAACGCTAGTAATGTGGAACTTGGTGGTGTTTTATTTCAGGTACAAGACAGAAGCAGTAAAACACTCTCGAAGAAAAAAAAACTGAATTAATGTGACCCGTCGAGAGCTACTGGCTGTAGTTAAAGCCCTCTAACATTTCCACAAGTTCTTGTATAGACGGAAGTTCCTCTTAAGAACGGGTCACGCCTCCTTGGAGTAGCTACTGAAATTTAAGAACCAGAAAGAACATAAGAACGTATTAAAGTAATACTCCACAAGTTCTTGTATAGACGGAAGTTCCTCTTAAGAACGGGTCACGCCTCCTTGGAGTAGCTACTGAAATTTAAGAACCAGAAAGAACAAGTTGCAGGCTGGTTACGACTTCAGAAATACGAGTTCGATATCGAACACCGCCCAGGTTGACATTGTTCAACTGCAGAGAAGAAAGAACCTACTGTATTATATACCACCGTTCAGCGTGAGGGATACTGGGAAGATAAGAATCTAATCGAAGAAAGGGGCAACCCAATAATAGGAAGCAAGAAAGTTTGCAGTGTCCGGATTAGCCGATATGAAGTATCACTGGAATTGCATTCCAACCAAGGCAAGAACCTTAAGTAGGCTTTGTTTATGAATATTTTGTTACTTAACTAATAGGCAATACAGAAACAAGGGGTACACTCTTACATATACAATCATGGGATGGTTGAACGATTCAATGCTGCTATGGAGCTAATTTAAGGAGATTCATCAACAAGCACTAAACTGACTGGGGCCGACACATACTGTTATTCCTCTTACCTTATAAACGCTTCAGATTATAATAAATATCTGAGGAAATGAAAGGGTGGCATCGTTTTATAAAGGTATTTCCTATTCCCAATAATCCATACAACAAAACTTAATTACATTTTGTATGATTAAAAAGTGCAACAGTACCTAAATATAAGATATTTTAAATATGAAACACTTTGATATTTAATAGGGGTTAATATCAAATAATAATGTGAAAATTAATTTTAATTTTCTCCCACTATAAACTACCTCAGGTTAATGAGGGAAAGATTTGTTGCTGTTGTCACATCCTCACCGGGAATCGAACCCGGGACCTTTGGCTTTACCTACCAATGCTCTGACCACTATGCTAGGAGAGGTGACAACAGCAACAACGACAAACCCTACTTATCAGGTCACAGATCTGTCGAACTAATGTAACTATATTAATACTATAAATATGAAACACTTTGATATTTAATAGGGGTTAATATCAAATAATAATGTGAAAATTAATTTTAATTTTCTCCCACTATACAAACTCGATTTCGATTCCCGGCAAGGGTGTGACAACAGCAACAACCCTTATGAAATGTCAAACTGTTTCATATTTGCAGTATTAATATATTTATATTAGTTCGATAGATCTGTGACCTAATAAGTACGGTTTGTCGTTGTTGCTACTGTCACCTCCCGTAGCTTAGTGGTCAGAGCATTGGTGTGTAAAGCCAAAGGTCTGGGGTTCGATTCCCGGTTAGGGTGTGACAACAGCATCAAATTTTTCCCTCATTAACCTGAGGTAGTTTATAGTGGGAGAAAATTAAAATGAATTATCACGTTAATATAAGATATTTCTTAGTAGTTATAGTAAGTTATTGTCAGTTAGTAAAATGATAATATATTCTATCTATAGTATATCGAACTTACCATTAGCACAATTAAGCTGAAGGAAGCAGATATACAATAAGATGGAAAAAACTGCAACACACTTCATCTTTTACGTAAATAATACACTAACACCTTCTTGAATTTTTTGTAACTTATGAATACCAGCCATCCAGATCTTTCCTTTTATTTCGATTTATGAGATAGCAAACAATGGCAATAAACACGATCCAGCGTTTCTGATAAGTCGAAACGTGTTTAAAAAAAAATACTCCAATCAGTGTCGGGCCTGAAAAAGGCATAACAGTGTAAGTTGCCTCCTCAGGCATGAAAAGGTAGTTAGAGATAAATTAGAAGCAGGAAAAGAAGTCCATAGGTGTAGAGGTAGATTTAGTTTACTTAGTCTTAGTTTACTTCAGTCCCTGAAGAAGGTAACTTTGTTACCGAAAAGTGCTTCGGACAACTACAGTGTCGTGTTTTGGCGTTGGGGTTTTGAGCTATTCTGTTTGTTCTAGACTTAGATTAAAATGACTGTTCACGAACAGTTAAGGATTTTTGGGGAAATTAAACATTAGCTGAAGTTAGGAATGGGAGGAGATGCGTGTCCAATGAGTATTTACAGTTAATAAGGAGAGAACACGACATCACAACCCAAAAGCTTAAACTGTTTCATTTATCTGTTTGTTCACACTTGTAGCATAATGTCGTGGTAGGGGGAGGGTCTCAATCTCATGCGAAGTTATGTCACAGCTAAAGGACCCTTGAGGATTACTCGTCTTATTGACCTTCAGGCAACTACGGTGATTTCCTGTCATCGGTCCATCTAACAGGGGGGGGGGCTTCGGAAGTTTCCTAATACAGTTGTGCCGGCTTGGGGTGAAGGTAATCCTTACCAAGACAGATGTTGCGCATTAAATCATAACTAGTTTCCTGATCAACATTTACAAAAAGGATCTTTCTACACATTGTTATCTTATTTTTCCCAAACCGAAAAAGTTTGTACGTCCATGGTGCTAATCTTAGTTAGTACTTTGTTAATAATCGAGCGCCTGGAAAACGCTAATATTGCAAAATGCTAATTCATTGCCCGATTTCCTACATTTTACAGTAATTTATTTCACTGCAAAAATTAGCTTTGCTTTAAATCAGTAACAAGAACAAAGATATAGTTGACGAATATAATTACCACTTTTGATAAATACTATATCACGTTTCGTTAATTGCATTTTCGAATCGGGAACACAAGAAAAGCTGTCATTAAAGAAAATAGTTAATGGTTTTGGTATGTGCCATATCACATTCCGCTAATTGCTTTCCAGTATTTTACTGTTATTGTAATTATGTGAAAGTGCGAAAATAGGAACACCCATTGGTTGTTAAAATTAACTAGATAACTAATACTAGAAATAGTTCATCATCATCATCATCATCATAGGGTCGTCAGTCCTAAGACTGGTAGGACACGTACCTCCACTCTTTCCTATCCTGAGCTAAACTTCGCATTTCCCTAAAACTAGAACAACCCACATTCTTAACTATTTGTGAACAGTAATCTAACCCCTTCTTACTCCTGTTTCTGCCTCTAATATATCTCTGACTAGACCTTCATGCCTGAGAAGGTGTCCTACCAACCTATCTCGCCTATCTTTTATTGACTTCCATAGAGTCCTCTGTTTTCCTATTCTTTCTAATACCTCTTCATTTCTAACCTTTTCTACCCACGTTATCCTCATCATTCGCCTGTAACACCACATTTCGAAGGCTTCTAACCTTTTCTTTTCCGCCGCGCCCACGGTCCATGTGACTTTTTTTATTAAAGGCGACACGACCCTGCGCTATCCTCTGCTTTATATCCCTACTACTCCTTCCGTCCTGACTTATCTGACTTCCTAGATATCTAAAATTAGCCACTTCTTATAATTTTTTGTCTCCTATCTTTATATTCGCTCTTTCCCTACTTTTTCTTCCCTTGCATACCAGTATTTTAGTTTTAGTTCAATCTCACAAAAAATACAGGGTGTAATGAAAATAAGTGGCACACTTGCAGGAGGCGATAGCGCGCTATAAGACATGAAAATTAAGTAAATGTTTTCATCACTTCACTACATAGTATAAAACAAAGACGCTTCCCGCTGCCTGTCCCTAAGTATTCTTAGATGTTTAAAACTACGCAACGGATTTTGATGCGGTTTTTTTTAATACATAGAGTAATTCAAGAGGAAGGTTTATATGTAAAATACATGCATAATATAGTAGAGAAACATTGATAATTTTAGAGGTTTGCAATGTGATGTCGTAAATAAACACATTTTTTACGCTTATTTTGCAAACGCCGGCTGAACTTACGAGATAGATCAAAATAATGTACTACAGTATTGTATACCTTAAAAAGGCCTACATAAAGTCCGTGATGGTATATGTCTATCTCTTAGGGATAACCTGCAATAACCATTTTTTATTCTTTACTTTTTATGATCAGTACTGTATGAAAATAAATAAAAGTAAAACTAAAATACTGATATGCAAGGGAAGAAAAAGTAGGGAAAGAGCGAATATAAAGATAGGAGACGAAAAATTAGAAGAAGTGGCTGATTTTAGATACCTAGGAAGTCAGATAAGTGAGGATGGAAGGAGTAGTAGGGATATAAAGCAGAGGATAGCGCAGGGTCGTGTCGCCTTTAATAAAAAGAAGTCACTTCTATGCTCGCGAACGGTTAATTTAGAAATTCGAAAAAGGTTGTTAAAGGTGTATGTTTGGAGCACGGCGTTGTACGGGTGCGAAACATGGACAGTGGGAGCGGCGGAAAAGAAAAGGTTAGAAGCGTTCGAAATGTGGTGTTATAGGCGGATGATGAGGATATTGTGGGTAGAAAAGGTTAGAAATGAAGAGGTATTAGAAAGAATAGGAGAACAGAGGACTCTGTGGATGTCAATAAAAAATAGGCGAGATAGGTTAGTAGGACACCTTCTTAGGCATGAAGGTCTAGTCAGAGACATATTAGAGGCAGAAACAGGAGTTAGGAGGGGTAGAGGTAGACCTAGATTGGATTACGGTTCGCAAATAGTTAAGGATGTGGGTTGTTCTAGTTTTAGGGAAATGCGAAGTTTGGCTCAGGATAGGAAAGAGTGGAGGTACGTGTTTAGGACTGATGACCTTATATGATGATGACTTTTTATGAGAAATAATGGCTTATTTACGATTTAAGCATTAATCCTTATCCAATTAAGTACTTTTAAATACATTGTGCACTTAATATAGATCAATATGGCCCTTTACAGCATGTAATTTAAATGAATATTTTCGAAGATATTACAGACTTAAAATGCAGGGACATAGCGGTTGCGGCGGTACCAGTCGGAGGGCCGATTTGTATTGTCTAATGACAAAAAAGCTGTGAATGTTGTATATAAAGACATTCTGTAGTATATTTAGTATCAGCATTGCATCCGTGTGAAGCTGGGGCGGGTCGCTAGTAATAAATAAACACAAATTAATTTCCACAAATATATTAATAAAAGCTTTACAATTCTTTCGCCTTATTGACGTTTCTTCAGAAGTATTACTTAAAACTACATTAACAATACGGACTTATATATAACTATGTGCTAGAATGGGAGTTTGACAAAGAGGTTTAGTAAGGGTGAGTTATTTAGATCTAATTGGTCATTCAGGAACGTGCCGGTGTTTTTATTTTTATTTATTTCAACTGTTTCTAATAGAGAAAGTTGATAGCTTTTAGTTTTTAGATGTAGAATTTCAAAGTTTTCATTAAATTCATTAATTCATTAAATCAGACAATCAGTGGTAGTCACACACAAAGACTCGAATGGAGTTACTGAATTTAAATCTAAGTAACCGTTGACGGGCGTACCACAGGGATCTGTACTAGGTCCTGTCCTACTTCCCCTCTTAATAAATGATTTTGAAACTTGCCTAAATGGCAAAGCAACTGCAACAGTTTATGCCGACGATACCTCTTTAATTGTGTCACACAAAGATGATATTATACTTGAACAAATATGTAGTGAGGTCCTTCAGGAGGTGCATGATTGGTTCAATTGCAATTACCCATACTTGAACAAACCCGGGTAAAAATTATTCGTCAATTTCACTCTACCAAATTACAACCAAACTAGCTCCATAAATTTCTCTAAAATATGACCGAAAAAGGTCCGTTTGCAGGACTGAACCGCCGATTGTCTACGAAATGAGCACTGAAACAGCGCCGCATTTAGTACAAAAAGATCAAAAAGCTACTGAAATACCACCGAACGAGCGACGTATTTATACTAAAAAAGCGCCGAAACAGCACCAAAGCGATACTAAAATTTAAATGTAATCAATAAATTCTAATTAATATTACATTAATTTTAATAAAAAATTTAGAAACTTTATTTTTATTTTATAAATATAATTACACATTTATAA